GGGCCTAAAGAAAACACAAAGAGTATCGAGTTGATGTGGAACGATAATAAACGACAGGATGATTGTCATTAAGATTATCACGCGATCCGTCTTGACACGGCCGGGGACTTTGGAACTAGAAGAACATTTATTCCTAATGCATCTAAGTAAGTAAAATCCAAAAAATTACACGCGCTCCTACGCGAGTACTACGTATTCTATGTTTATACATCTTCAAGCACGACAACGACGATTGGTGCATCCTATTAAGATATTAGATAAAAAGCAATCAAAACAACACGTAAACTACGAACAAACACTGCTATGTATGATGCGACGACTTAAAAGAACTTCATATTTGTTTATAGTAGCGCGGGGCGCCAAATTTACACGCTTTTGACTTTCTGGGTAAGAACAATTGTAATAGTAAATACGAAGCTAAGATAGACGCTGACATACGGGTGTTTTCCGTCACTATGGTTAATACTCACACGTAGTTTATTCTAAATGTAAATCAAAAATATAAACTTATATAATTAGGTTTACAAACGGATACCTACGGGCGTATTAATGTTTAACAATCTATAAACATTTATTCCGAATGTTCACCAATGCGCGTGATGACGTTTCATTACAGGGTTTCCACACGATAATGTAAGCGTCATACAGTTAACATCGTACTCCGCTGCCAGACAGCAGTAGTTTTAACTGGCATCATTATTGTAGGTTAAGGCTGCTGGGGAAAATACGTCGCCCACGTCGTCTAGACTTCCGGTGGGAGTTTAAAAAACGCACGTGATTTCAGCAATCTCAACCTTCACGTTCATCCATGTCAACGCAAATCCGCTAGTTTCGCCGAAAATGACAACAGGTCTGTTATACGCCAGAATATTCGCGCCCGCAAGTGTTTTGGATAGCTATCAGTGGCGCCAACGTATCTCACGGATAGAGTTGTTTGCGTCGGACATCTAGCAGAAGGAAGTTCGCTGGGGCCGTTCTCACGGACATCTGCATCGGCGTATCGTGACTGTAGATCTTCAGTGCAGGTCCGAGCTTCAGATTGAAGTCCGGTAAGAATCGGAGCTCTTCATCAGGCAAACAAACGACTTGCCGTCGATCTCCTGCTGAGCGAGAGGAAGATCCGGCGCTATACACGACGCTCTGATATTGCGTCCATTACATAAATCTTATGATGAGAGACCCCTACCCTTACCAAATGCATATCATCAACAAAATATACTGCTCTGTTGAGATATTGCCTCATGCGCTAACACACTAACGTAGCCAGATTGTGACGGATGTGAGCATCGGGAATATAGGAATAGAGGTTTGTTGTTGAAGCAATGGTGAGGACTATGCCTAGCGGCATTCATCCTTGGAGAAGGGCCCTGAGGAAGTGAACGTATAGCACACGCACGAATGCATTCGTAATCACGCACGCACGGGGACACATGCACGAACCCGCACAGCACGCATGCAATCGTACGGCACGCACGCGCGTGGTGCACATGAACATGCACAGCACGCATTCATCGTACGCACGCACGACGTGAACACATGCACGAAGCGCACACGCACGCATGCAATCGCACGCACGACGCGCTGGGATATTGCGAACCCGCACACGCACGCAGGGAAATTCGTACGCACGCAGCACGGGTCACATGCCGAACCGAACACACGCACCGCATTGCAATCGTACGCACGCACCGCACGGGCACATGCACGACCCGCACACGCACGCATGCAATCGTCGCACGCACGCGCGTGCGGCAGTTGTACGAAACACGCACACGCCACGATGGCAATGTAAGCACGCACGCGCGTGGGCAGTTGCACGAAACAGTACACGCACGCCATGCAACGTACGCAGCACGCACGTGAGCAGTTGCACGAACACACACACGCACGCATGCAAGGGGTACGCAGGGCACCCGCGTTGGGCACATGCGAACATGCACACGCACGCATGCATCGTACGCACCACGCACGTGGACACGATGCACGCCGCACACGCACGCATGCCATCGCTACGCACGCACGCGCCTGGCACATGCGAACATGGCAAACTGCACACGCACGCATGCAGCGTACGCACGCACTGCGGCGCTGGGCAGCTTGCGCGAACAAGCACACGCACGATGCAATCGCTACGCACGCGACGCACGTAGGACACATGCACGAACCCGCACAGCACGAATGCAATCGGGACGCACGCACGACACGTGGGCAGAT